ATTAAGTAACCTACAAAAAATTGTAATAAAAAAGATGAAAATAGAAAATCAAAAAAGAAACACAAATTAAATAGTCAATAAAACGCAAAATATTCGAATTTTATTCGTTTCTCTATTGTTTCTTGTTTCTACGAAATACCTATTGAGGTGGATAGGGGACTGGGTGTGGGTATACTAGAGGAGATTGGGTACGTCGGTGCTAAATATTTGTATTGTATTTACATGGCATATGCACTGCACTATATAAACTGACAGTCCATGGGATTAGACTCGATTTTGTTGATGGGTGGAACGAAACGAAATGAAATATACTTGAATGTCATCACTGGGCATGGCTACATTTAGCTTGAAAGAGAAATGGAATGGAATAGAACATATACATCTCTTATGGATGATTTTTTTCAGGAACGAAACGGAATGAAACTGAACTGAATGCTTAGCTGACAAATGGCTAAATTTGCTTGAATGCGTAACTGAATGAAATAGATACGATGTTTGTTCCATCTAGCTCAGGAACAAAACGGAATGAAACAAACTAAATCGTAACACGATTCGGATTTGAAACGATATGAAACTGAACGGGACTGAATTGAACGGACTCAGATGCAGCTCTCATCATGGTTAAGCTTTCGTTTCTTATCCCAGAAACGAAACGGAATGAAACAGATCTGAAAGATTTCCAGTATGCCCGCAGCAAGTGCAACCTTTTAGCATAAATGTAAATGTTAAAAAAAAAAGAAAACTAATTTTTTTTTTTAATAAAATAAGTAGCTAAAAAGCTAATAAAAGGCAATAGAAATGTGCTCAAATTGTAATAAAATAGAAGTAATAAAATAAAATTATAAAAAATAGTTAAGAGTGTGTGATTAATAATAGGAGCGAAAGAGAGGCATGCCAACTGTTTTTGCTATGTGTAGGAAAGAGTTAAGAGAGAAGCTTAGTTGTTTTTAAGAATTTTTTTAGTTTACAAACTTCAGCAAACACCCTAGAATTAGGTACGATTTTTAGTTGTAGTTCATTATTTTTTCCGCCTAATACAA